GGGTTTTTTCACGCGGTCTTGGACTTTAGTAATTCCCCCTGGTCTCTGGGTAGTGAGATCGGACGCCCGTGTGTATTATTGCACACGTAGAAAATCCCTTGGCAGTTGGAAATTGAAAAGCGTAATTGAAAAGAGTAGCCTAACAGCGCTGTCCGGGCAAAACTTTTGAATTAAAGATCTACCTAAAATGTTTCAGGATCCTCGCCTGTGTACTGTGCTGAGCTTCTTCAGACTCAGAATTGAGTTAGAAGAATAACGGAGCACTTTACAACCCGTGTGCCATAAAGTTGATTCGTTGATCAAACCTCAAAACCTCTGCAGAATCTCCAGTTGCTTTAGTGCCTGTTTACGCTCTATGCCTCACAAGCCCAGCTACTTCAGTACATTGTATGTGAGCTGGGGAATAGCCCTATCGCGCCCACCTTTAGGACGATGAGTTTTACAGCGTACCCCTCATCTTTCCTGAGACGGCCACCAGAACACTGTACTTCTAGACCTTGTAGTTGTGTTGATCTTTGATACGCGACTCTACGGTACGTCCAACTTTATCATGACGAGCTGCAGCTCTGTGCAACACCATGCGAAACCTTAGCCCAGTCGTCCAGATTAGTTCAGGGTGCTTCTCAAAACCAGACAGGGGGCTGCGTGGTCTCAAAGCATGGTGTCCGCCTCGAGTGCTAGAGGCTCCAGGTGCAATCCCCGGTAAGCGTTTGGGATTTTTTCACGTGGACTTGGACTTCTAGTAATTCACCCTGGTCTCTAGGTAGTGCATTGTTGCGCACGTGAAAAAAAAAAATCCATTGGCATTTAGAATTTGAAAAGAGTAGCCTAACGACGCTGCTCTGACAAAAATCTGGAGTATAAAATGTACCCAAAGTATTTCAGGATCCTTGCCGGTGCTACAGAGTCTGTGCACTGTGCTCAGCCACTTCGGACTCAGACTTGAGTTAAAAGAAGAGAGGAGCACTCATGGGTTACTACCCGTGTGCCATGATGTTAATCCGTTGTTCAAAAATCTCAACAACAACAAAACTCAAAACCAGACAGGCCAACCGCCAGTTACCAGTCCAGTGCACAGTCGAGTATGGATAGAGACCAGTGCACAGTCGAGTATGGATAGAGTCCAGTGCACAGTCGAGTATGGATAGAGACCAGTGCACAGTCGAGTATGGATAGAGTCCAGTGCACAGTCGAGTATGGATAAGGTCCAGTGCACAGTCGAGTATGGATGGAGTCCAGTGCACAGTCGAGTATGGATAGAGTCCAGTGCACAGTCGAGTATGGATAGAGCATACTTTGTTGAAATGCTCCGTTAGAAATCTGGCCAGCTTTGACGGAAAGTGCAAGAGGTGGGATAATTGGCGTGAGGCCAAGCTTATTTCAGGCAGATCTGGGTGAGAGCGACGTTCAGCAGTTTAGCTAATACATGATGATGATGAGGTTTTTTGTACCTGGTGGTGATGATAATGGTTGCTTTATTGTTAGTATTTGTTGTGGAGCTTTACGTCCGATGCAGTAAAGCAGGCCAAGTATTGGGACAGCTGCCCGCCCCCCCACCATCTCTCCCCCTTCCCATTTTTTTACAGTGTGACAATCCAAATCAGCACAAAGAAACATCTCATACAAAGCATATTTATTTCCAACCTATGATGTCAGTGCCAGACATGGTCACTCACAACAACACATAAAAGAAAACAAATAGGCATGGAAATGAGGTGTCCAGAAGAGATAGAATCAGTAATACGGTCATACGAAACAAAGTCGCCACAGAATCAATTCTAAATTACATACAAAGACAGCAAATCAAATGGTTTCCCCACTTGGAGAGAATGCCTCAAATTGATATACCAAATAAGGCATATCCCAAAAGAGGGGAGGAACGTAGAGAAAGAGGTAGACCAAGAACAATATGGGATGATAGCATCAGATAAACTCTACAGCACCATGATATGTGCATGGTGGAAGCAGCCAGAAGAGCACGAAGCAGCCAGAAGAGCACGAAGCAGCCAGAAGAGCACGAAGCAGCCAGAAGAGCACGAAGCAGCCAGAAGAGCACGAAGCAGCCAGAAGAGCACGAAGCAGGATCTTATATCTCCCTCGACACCCGAAGCGGTAAAAGAGGACGTAAAGAAGAAGAAGTTGCTTTGGTGGTAGTTGTGGTGATTGTAGTAGTAGTGGAAGCAGCCTCTCTTCTAAAATGGCCTTAGCAGTAGTGGTAGTAGTTGTAAAAGCAGCAGCTGCAGCAGCAGTGGTAGTGGTGGTGGTGGTAGTAGTAGTGGTAGTAGTAGTGTTAGTAGTAGTAGTGGTGGTAGTGGTGGTAGTGGTGGTAGTATTGGTAGTAGTGCTAGTAGTAGTAGTAATAGTATTAGTAGTAGTAGTAATAGTAGTGGTAGTAGTAGTAGTAGTAGTAGTAGTAGTAGTAGTAGTAGTAGTAGTAGTAGTAGTAGTAGTAGTAGTAGTAGTAGTAGTAGTAGTAGTAGTAGTAGTAGTAGTAGTAGTAGTAGTAGTAGCAGCAGCAGCAGCAGTAGCGGTAGTAGAAGGCATGTAATGAGAAGAGGTGGATTCGGGAACTCGGTGACGAAGGTCAAGATCTGATGGTGAGAGAGCAATGGGAAGGCAACAACAACATATACCTGCGTCACTGCGGCTGCAGCACGGCACGACAACTGATAGGAGGCTGTGGTGATGGTGTCAGATGGTGGCACAGAATAGCCTACGCTTTTCGGCACGACACATGATGACGATGATATTGATGATGATGATGATGATAAGTGTCATGATGGTCGTGGTGGTGATGATGACGATGATGATGATGTTGATGATGATGATGGTGAGAATGACATTGATGATAATAATGATGCCGATCGTGACGATGAACAGGATGACGTTGGCAATAATGTCGATGGTGATGTTGATGATTATGATGATGATGATGATGATGATGATGATGATGATGATGATGAAAATAATAATAATGATGAGGATGAAGAAGACTCAGTTGAGAAATCAAAGACAGAAGAAATGAAAGAATCTGAGCTATAAATATTATCCCACAGAGAGCGAAAGATTAGAATCTATCTAGAAGTGACCGTCTATGGCAGCAGTTCTCAACCTATGGATCGCGACCCCTTTTGTGGGTCGAAGAACCCTCTTATGTGGGTCGCTTAAGACCATCGGAAAACACATATTCGTTGATGTTATGAAGTAGCAAAGAAAATAATTTTATGGTTGGGGATTGCTACAACAGGAGCAACTGTTTTAAAGGGTCGCGGCATTAGCAAGTTTGGGAACCACTGGTCTACGGGAAGTCCAGATCGCACTTACATGGAAGATTGCTGCGAAGTTTGATTTACTGATTTCTGTTGTGACGTGTGTTTTCTATAGAAAATCGTTTCCTCGAGATGTGGAATCGGTGGTGGTTGTAATAAACACATCTCGCATTCGCTAGGAAAGTGACTTTTCTTAGTCTCGTCAATACTTAGTCCCAGTTGGGCCTATTGTATATACATTGACTGATCCAGAGGGAGTTATTCTTTGTCGGTTTGGCGGCTTAATGTCTTTGAACTCGCCCAACATTCTTGTATTTGTTGCAGACGTCAGCTTGTTACGCTGTGGTGGGAGATTTGCACGTTCGATTGTTGTTGTTGTTGTCGTTTTCATTACTATTATTATTATTATTATTATTATTATTATTATTATTATTATTATTATTATTATTATTATTATTATTACTTTTATTATCATTATTATTATAGTTTTAACTTATTTCCTCGGGTTTTTTTTTTTCAATCCTAATTTTTTTTTTAATTGACCTACCTTTTTATCTTTTTCCTCTTTCTTTTTGTCTGTCTGTCTTCTACTTTTAGTCCCTTTTTTTTTCATCGTCTTCTTCTGTTTCTCGTTTAGCTTCTTCCTTCCTGCTGCTACTGCTGGTTCTTCTTCTGCAAAGTATCCCCGCTGGAGCAAAGGCCTTTAACTAAAGTCGAGGTTCTTAATTTGCATCGCCTGCAGCATATTTCTGTTCTATACTCTCCCTACCCTGTTCGTTCTTTCGTTTCCCTTCTATCCGTGCAACGTCTCTTTCATGGACAGAATCTGGCCCATTGTTTTTGATCTGTCCTACAGGCCTTTGTCTCCGGCTTTCTCTAGGAAGTCCTTGTTTCTTTAATTCAGTTGATTCCCATTTCACTGCATGTTCGTTCGTATGATTTCAATTAGCCACATTCAACCTCTGACTAGAGAGTTGGCCTTGGCCTTGGCCTTGTCAATGTCGATTGTAATTATGGCAAGAATTTGTGTAGCTATTTCATTACCTAGTGTTTAGTGCCAGTATTGTATGTCTTCCATGTCTATCTGGCCGGCCAGGTCGTGTCCCTCTCATTGAGCAGGCTTGGATATGATTAGGTGATGGGTTCCTTACTGTGTCATCCGTTGGTAGTGTTACTGCAAACTGACTGGGCTGTCTCCTGAGCTCTTCGTGGTGACATTACCAGTTCTGTGTGTTGTTGTTGTCGTTGTAGCTGTTATTGCTGTTGTTCAGCAGTGAGGTCCTCATTTGCTACGGCGATCTTCATCAGACTTCGTCAACTCTGTCGTTTTGTCGTCTTCGTCCATATCGCCATACGAGATGTTTCAGGTCCTCATTTGCTACGGCGATCTTCATCAGACTTCGTCAACTATGTCGTTATGTCGTCTTCGTCCATATCGCCATACGAGATGTTTCAGGTCCTCATTCTGTTGCTTGCTTGGATTGTTTTCTTCTTGGCCATTCTCTCTTTGCTACTCATCGTTGTGTGCCCAGTGAATTACCATCTGCTTCTTCTTATAAATATTAACACAGACGAGCTGTCTAACAGGGCTCCACATTATCGATTATGTTATTCCATTTAATTCCCTCCATTCGTATAATGACTGTGGTGGTTAAATGCCGTCTTTGAGAGCCTGACCTGTAAGGTAAATGTGTTGGTACATTATGAAAATATGTTTACATTTCGTATTTATTATCTCTCTGTTTTTTTCTCCTCCTTCCCTCCTTTCCTTCCTCCTTCCTCCTTCCTCCTTCCTCCTTCCTCCTTCCTCCTTCCTCCTTCCTCCTTCCTCCTTCCTCCTTCCTCCTTCCTCCTTCCTCCTTCCTCCTTCCTCCTTCCTCCTTCCTCCTTCCTTCCTCCTTCCTCCCTTCCTTTCCTTCTGCTTCTCCTTCTCCTTCTCCTTCTGCTTCCTCCTTCCTGCTTCCTGCTTCCTGCTTCCTCTTCTGCTTCTGCTTCTCCTTCCTGCTTCCTCCTTCCTCCTTCTGCTTCTCCTTCCTCCTTCCTCCTTCCTCCTGCTTTTGCTTCTGCTTTTGCTTCTGCTTCTGCTTCTGCTTCTGCTTCTGCTTTTGCTTTTGCTTCTGCTTTTGCTTTTGCTTCTGCTTTTGCTTTTGCTTTTGCTTTTGCTTTTGCTTTTGCTTTTGCTTTTGCTTTTGCTTTTGCTTTTGCTTTTGCTTTTGCTTTTGCTTTTGCTTTTGCTTTTGCTTCTGCTTTTGCTTCTGCTTCTGCTTCTGCTTCTGCTTCTGCTTCTGCTTCTGCTTCTGCTTCTGCTTCTGCTTCTGCTTCTGCTTCTGCTTCTGCTTCTGCTTCTGCTTCTGCTTCTGCTTCTGCTTCTGCTTCTGCTTCTGCTTCTGCTTCTGTTTCTGCTTCTGTTTCTGTTTCTGTTTCTTTTTCTTTTTCTTTTTCTTTTTCTTTTTCTTCTTCTTCTTCTTCTTCTTCTTCTTCTTCTTCTTCTTCTTCTTCTTCTTCTTCTTCTTCTTCTTCTTCTTCTTCTTCTTCTTCTTCTTCTTCTTCTTCTTCTTCTTCTTCTTCTTCTTCTTCTTCTTCTTCTTCTTCTTCTTCTTCTTCTTCTTCTTCTTCTTCTTCTTCTTCTTCTTCTTCTTCTTCTTCTTCTTGTCACTACTCCTGGCATGTCTCGCGGCATCAGGGCAGAAAGAGATCTCTGGATCGGGCCCTTCTGTTTGCTTCGTATAAAGTACTTTTTGTCTCTGATATTTATGAGGTCCATATTCTGCGTGGATGATCTCTGGATCTGTTACCGCTGTATCTGTACAACATTGCTCTCTGAGGTGCCCTGTCTGATGCCAATCTGTGTTATATGCTTTTTAAAATCCTGAACAAAATATTGAACTGTAAATTGTGTAGTTCAAAAACCAAGTTACGGATTTTCAGTTATTATGGTATTTCTCTCTCTCTCTCACTCTCTCTCTCTCTCTCTCTCTCTCTCTCTCTCTCTCTCTCTCTCTCTCTCTCTCTCTCTCTCTCTCTTGTTGTACCCCTCCAGGACATCACACAAGTTATAAACAACCGGTGACACAAAGTGCCACCATGCGGATGACGATCACCCGTGGATAGGTTTTTTCCTCCGTTTGGCCATGTTTATGGCCCGGCTATATTCTTAGGCTCCCGGCAAAAACCAGGGTGGGGCTTCAAATAATGAAAAAATTGCATAACACATAGGGACAACTTGTAATGTAATGCCGAAGACACAGAACCAAAATCAAACGCATTCGAAAACAAATGCCTAAGAAAAACGTTGAACATACAATAGGGTGAATTTAAGAGGTGTTAAGACAGAAACAAAATGTCTGAGCAACCACCGGTATCAACAGTTAAAAGAGAACGACGATGTTGAATGTTGAATTTTGAATGATGAATGTTGAATGTTGAATGATGAATGTTGAATGATGAATGTTGAATGTTGAATGATGAATGTTGAATGATGAATGTTGAATGATGAATGTTGAATGTTGAATGATGAATGTTGAATGATGATGTTGAATGTTGAATGATGAATGTTGAATGTTGAATTCTGAATGTTGAATGTTGAATGATGAGTGTTGAATGATGAATGTTGAATTTTGAATGTTGAATGACGAATGTTAAATTAAGAATCGATAGCACAGAAATCGGGACAACCCAATAAACGCTCCGTCCCAGTCTTCTTCATCCTCATCATCGTCATCATCACCATCATGTGCCAGACAAATAGGCATAGACAATCATGTGCCACTATCTCACGAGTATAGGGGTCCCTAGCTAATCCGTGGATGTCTAGCGACCATTTATATTTTATTTCTGTGAGAGTTTATCGTAGGGGCCTCAGTATACTTTTTGCCCAGGGGTCCATAATGCTGACAAGACGACTATGTGGGTGTGGAGGGAAAAGGGGGAGGGGTGGGGGCATGATGGATGGCACTCAGATCTTTCAAGTGCTTAGGATATTAAAGGTTTTTAATCCGGCAGTTAAGTGAAGGAATATTTGCCACGCCTTCGGGCGTATTGTGCATATAGGGCTAGGTGTATATTTCATAGACCAATTGGCACTTAGTCGATGATATGGTCGTCATAGTCCCGCTGCCTTTACTTCTTGGGAAATTACCTGGTACCCATCTGGCTCGGCCTGAGAGAGAATGTCATTTAAAAACAAAGAGCGGCTCCTTCTGTGCCCGGACCCACAAGTTGAAGACCCACATTTTTTTTAAATATCCAGAAGCCATGAGTTGTTAACCCTTAGACTCGGTATTATGGATATCGCAACCCCCTCGGCCTTGTTTCCATGATAAATACCGTAAATCTGGGGGAAAATGTGGCTTTTCTGCTTACCCCCGGGAGTGGGCCCGGACCACAAGGAGATTGTCACCTGGTCACCACGCAATCCGGTTTAGCCAACTACGCTAGCGAGCCGGGCTGCAGACTCACATAAAGGTATCTAGCTGATATACTATGGTGGGTTTCTTTTACAAACGTAGCAATGGTTTTTGTGGGAGTCACCGTGGCGTTGGCGGCTAGAGGCCCGCCTGCGGTGTGGAATGTCGTGGGTTCGCGTCCTGACGAAGCCGGGCTTTTTTTTTTTTTTTAACTGACATTGACCCCCAGGTTGACCTAGCCTTGAATGGATACCAGGGAAGTAAAGTCGGCCGGCGTGATGCTGACCATATCACCCACCAAGTGCCGATTGGTCTATAAAATATAGGTTTAGCCTTAAAGTCCCAAAACGCCTAAAGGCGTGGAAAATACTTTTAATAGTTTTTGTATTTGTATTTGAAGTTGCCGCAGCACTAAGTGACGTTAAAGTTAGTTGCGTATCCTTTACAGAACGTTGCAGAACCAAAACCAGCATCTTTTGGCTGTTGTGGTTTTTCTGGGCAAATTTACGTCCAGTAGTTTGCCATTGCTTACTGGACGGTCGGCTTCTGGATACTACTGTCGAAACTAAAGCAAGGCGCAAGGCTCAAGGCCCGTAGCTGGAATCGAACCCGACACGCCGGCATTACAAAGCGCGTTTGCAAAGCTTAAACCACAGACGCTAAAAAAAGTGACGTAGTAACAACAGAACATTAGGATCGCATTCATCACAGCATCTAGTGATCTCGTATGGGAGAACCATGATCTTGGCATCAAATATCCCAAGAGATTAACTTTCCCTTTGCTTGACCAGGTGACCCTAGGCTGGACACAGTCTCATAAAAGTGGCCTCAGTGAAAACAATGGGAGGGAAATCAATAAGTGGCTTGATACTGGCATAATTACCATTAAGGGCTATTTGGACATCCGGGCAAAGTTTCCGATAACCGGCTGGTCTTTGACTGTCTGTAGCAAGGTTTTGCTGATGCAAATTCCCCATTTCTGGATTGGGAGTCTTAAAGTTTCATCGCACATCTACTGAGCTGACTTCTTGGTGCGACATTGTGAGCTTTGGATTTCATGTGGAATGCTGTTTACCTTGTGGTGCCCGCAGCGTTTTGTTCATGATCATCATAAACCACTTCTGTCGTTAAGCGGCGTAGAGAAGAATAATTTACGATCCAGTGCACCAAAGTTGCCACTGGCTATTGTCATGCGTAGAGGCGTAGAGTCTTTAATGTTGTCTATCCGTGTTTTCGCCGCCGTCCTCTTGCTCTTGTAGCTGATCTTCTGAGATGTAGTGCTTGTGACAGTATTTGATCTTGCTGCATTCTAACTAGATGGTCAAACCACTGGATTTGCTCTTTCTCGATGAATGTAGTACAAGGTGTTGTCCCGACGATTTGCCTGATAGTATCATTGTTCAGTCTATCTCGAATTGTATAACGTTGACTGCTTTTCTCAGGCATCTCATCTCGCAAGTGGTGATTTTGCGTATATTAGCTTTAGATAGTGTCCATGTTTGGCACTGATAGCTTAATGTGGGAATGCATATTCTGTTAATAATCTGTCTCTTTGCACTAATAGTTATGTTTGGATGGCTTAATATGGTGACAACTGGTATATAAGCGTACTTGTTTTCTGACATCTGGTTTCTATTTCTCTGTCAATTCTACCATCTTCCGTGATCATACTTCTAAGGTATTTGAATTCCCTAACTTAATTCAGACTGAAATCATTCTTCTGTATGTGTAGTGGGCCAGGGGTTTTACTAACTTTTTTTTTAATCGGTTTTGTTTGCATTGATCTTCATAGTGTGTTTACTGCTTGCTGAGTTTAACATGTTATTGTCGTCTTGCAGTCTATTTTCTTTAGGGTAGAACAAGCACTTTTCGTCGGGTAATAGTAGTTTTTTTAATGTGGATGTGTCGATTAGTTCGTCTGATGTGTGTACTTCCTCATCAATTTAACGATCTATGTTAAATAAGATTGGGGAGAGAACACATCCCTGTCTCACATCTGTGTTGGCTATGATCAGATCTGATATGCCTTGTTGTGTTTCTTACTGCATTACTGCTTGTGTGGTACATGTTTTCTGACGTTGTTGACTGCCGTTAAAATGGCTGGTTTCCGATTATGTCATAATGGCGTGTACTTTTACTATTGAAATGCTTACTTTCGTGTGCAGACTGTTGGACACTGTCTTCTTGTGCAGATGCACTTTACCTTATAAGGAAAACTTCTAATTAGTCGACTGTTACGGCATGCTTATTGGGGTCATTGGGTCTTCGCATTTTGCCACCAAAATGAGGCTACAGAATACACACGTTTTCTGAAATTAGCCAGTGTAATTTAGAAAGGTAGGGGCATCAGGGCTTCATGTAGCTCAGGGCCTCTTCAAGTCTAAATCTGATCCTTTATATAGGAAAGTAACCATTCTTCGTATTATAATACTGCTTTAAATCCCCCAATGGAGCATAGGCCCTCAACCAACTCATGACAAGATGTTCTCTATTTCGATGTTACATCCAGCTCTCCCGATGTCTTTTCCATCTGTTAACTTCTTTGTGTATTTTGTGTCTGCCTTTATTTGGGTGCCCCGTGGGTCTCAGTGCAAAGACATTCTAGTTATACTGTTTTCAGGTTTTCTCAACGTGTGTCCTATCCAACGCCAGCATCTTTTTCTCACCTATTGGTC